CCCAAGGAGCTCACAGCCCCAGAAGGAAGGTAAGTAGACATTTAAACAGGTAATAATGATATTATGTGGTGTTACAAGAGAGGGGTTAAGAAAGTGCTGTGGTAGCAGAGGAGAATCTTGCCTCCTAAAGCCCTAGGTTCATCAGGCACAGGAAGGAGGGGAAGGGCACCTGGCAGGGGAACAACATGAACAGAGGCATGGAGCCCTGAACCTAAACCTGTGTGCAGGGAGGTCCGAGGGGCCCAGAGATGTGAGATGGGGGTCACTGAAAGGGAGATGAGGCTAGAGAGGAAGGGGTGCTTGGGTCATGACAGGAATTCCAGTTTGATTCGATAGGCAGGAGGGAAGCAAGAGATATTAGGGAGGTAAGAGTCGGATTTTATTTTATTTTTTTTCATTTGTTTGTTTGTTTGTTTTGAGACAGAGTCTTGTTCTGTTGCCCTGACTAAAGTGTAGTAGCTGGATCACAGCTCACTGCAACTTCAAATTCCCGACTTCAGGACATCCTCCTGCCTTGGTCTCCCAGAATGTTAGGGTTCCAGGCTTAGGCCACCGGGCTCAGCCTCCAGATTTTTTTTTTTTTTTTTTAAGACAAGGTCTTGCTCTATTGCTCAGGCTGGAGTGCAGTGGTGTCTTCACAGCTCACTTGAACCTCAAACTCCTGGGCTCAACCAATCCTCTTACCTCAGTCTTCCGAGTAGCTGGGACTACAGGTGAAGCCACCACACCTGGTCAGATTTGGTTCTTTAAGCTGCTAAATTTGGGCTAGGGTTGCTGGCAGATCTATCAGAAAGCACTTGCAATGGCTTGGGCAAGGGTTAAGGCAGTGGTACCAGAGGGGAAGAGGAGAGGCCCATTTGGTATTGGTCTGGTAAAACCAACAAGAGTTGGAGATTAAATATTATAGAATGAGGAAGTGAGCAAGATGTTCTCATCAAGAGCAGTGGCTTTAAGCTATTAAGCATTGGGGAATGGTTATATTGTTTGTCATAAACACAGACTGAAAGCAGAAGAGCCAAATTTGGGAAAGAAATGCATTTATAATAATTTGAGTTATCATTATCAGGAGTATATACAAGAAGAAAGGACATCACAATTTAAAACAGAGGTCTGGGTCATGGAGCCATAGAGGTAAATGGGGCCACAAGA